TCATGAATCAAGACGCCAAAAATGCTAGTTGCATAAAAAGGTGCTACAAAGGATTATACTGTGTACTAAGATGTGGTTTTAAATTCTTTAAAATGCCGTGCTTTTGATTGCCACTCAGAACGGGGGTTCCAAACCAGTCACTCGATGGAGTGCGTCTCCTACCCTGTACGAACAGCTGAGCTGAGTGGTTCTGTCATTGTGGAAAATCTTAGAAGTATGTTACACAAGCATTTATTAAATATCGGCAACAGAATGGGAGAGAATCGGATCAATGCGCTGAATTGATTCAAGTTTTTATTACAACTGATTATTACTGAAATCACACATTTTTTTTAATTTAAAAAAAAAGCCATGTTATTCCATCCATCCATTTTCTTATCCGTTTATCCTCACGAGGGTCGCTGGCGTGTTGGAGCCAATCCCAGCTGTCTTTAGGCAGTAGTTGGGGGACACCCAAACTGGTTGCCAGCCACTCGCAGGGCACACAGAGACGAACAACCATTCGCGCTCACAATCACACTTTGGGACAATTTAGAGTGTTCCATTAACCGTTCACGCATGTTTTTGGAATGTGGGAGGAAACCGGAGTACCTGGAGAAAACCCACACAGGCACGGGGAGTACATGCAAACTCCATACAGTCCTGGAGCCAGAATCGACCCCTGCATCTCTGCACTGTGAGGTAGACGTGCTAACCAGTCAACCACCGTGCCATCCCGCCATGTTTTTTATTTGATTGAATGTGCATTTTGACCAGAAAATGGACATTGAAATGACTCAAAATTATGTTTTCACATTTTACATCCAAAATAATGTTTTCCCAAATGACACAAAAAAAAAATAGGTGGGTTTGTTACCGTTGCTGTCCGCGTAGCAGCATGTGACATGTCACTAAAAATAATTAGTTTCAATTGAACGACTGCATTTGCCAGAATTCAGTTTAACGCTGAATGATGTCTGCTTTCGTTGACAATGAATTCATATATTGAAATCCAATTTGGTTTTGAAGCTGAAGGAGAAATTGTAAGCAAAACAAGAATCACATCAGACAGTTGGAGTGCCCTGTATTTTTACCGACAGCTATTCGTTTGTAAAAAGGTGACTCCACACACTGCGTGTGATTTAAATATTAAAGGGCCAGTAAGAAGGGCAGCAGCGGTGAAAGTGTGCATGTTTGCACTTTTTTGCTCTTCACATGACAAGAAGGGGTTGTGGGGAGCCGGTGGTGCTGGAGGGTCGTGCGACTGGCGTGACGCCCGCTGGCACAATGCCCACATCTCCGGCTGCTGCCGCACTCCGTGTCATGGCCGGGACTCCCTGCCAGGGCTTTCCCCAGAATTCCCGCACACATGCACACACGTACACACACGCACGCGCATAGACAGACACATAAAGACACAAAAACGAACTATACTTCCCATGTGTCTACATTTTGTTCATATGATATGCCTCGTGCACATGGTTAGTTCTTACTTAAAAATATATATATACAGTATATAAACATATAAATAATTATGTAATAATAACAAAGGAGCAAAAATATTATGGTGCATTTGTCCCTTTGCCATATTTTTTGTTTTGCTTACTTTATAAATAATGTGACGTAGAGTGAATGTAAAAAAAGCCAACACTGCCTTGCTCAAATGCCAACCAAAACCTAATACCAATGTCTGATATATTTGTCTGAGGCTGTTTTTTTTTATTTTTATTTTGTTTGTTTTTTTTTTTTTTAATCTTTTCTTTTCTTGCTGAATTTTCCCAAGAAAAAGCTGAAATTCATTTCGATGTTTTTGGACCAGATGTGCACTGTTGACGTCGTGGGTTAAATCCATTTGAAGTTGAGTAAATTCTTCTCATCAGTGCGAAAACAACATAAGTTGAAGGTCATTTTGGGTCACATCAGCGGGCTGACGTCAGGAAGCGCGCGGCGGGCTTGTGGCGGAAGTGTCCCACTGTGACAGTTTGCCACACCCCCTCTCGGTCAGACCACAGCGTGGTGGACTAGCATAAGCCAGAACGGTTTTAGTAGCCACATCTCATGGCGACCGGTAGGAAGGCTATTAAGAGTTTGGCAAGGAACAACCGCACACTCTTCCTCTTGGCCGCCACCCCTCCATGTGCAGAGCGCCACCCGGGGTCAGAGGATGTAAGTGGGAGAGGAAGTGAAACCTGGCTGAGGAGGGGGGCTACATTGTTGGCTTGAATACAGAGACCTCTGTGCACTGCTGACTTCCTACTTTTAACAACACAACTCACTGCATTGAACAGTCATCAAAATAGTAACATTGCCCTCGAGTTTATTATTAGCGACGGTCTTTTCAAAATTAAATGTCATGATTATGTACATGTTGCCCTCTAGTTATGAATCAACGTCATATTTATGAAATAAAATCTGAATGGTTCACCTTTCAATGCATCGACGCTGTGTGAGAGATGGAGTCACTTCTGTCTCGGAAATCAAAATGAGAATTAAGCAGGATTTCCTGCAAAAAGGAATCAATCAATTTTTGTTTTAGAGCATATTGAGATGATTTTGGCGACACAGTTTGCACGTCCAACTCACAGCGCGGAGGTTGTGGGTTCGAATCTGACCCTGGCCTTCCTGTGTGGAATTTTGCATGTTCTCCGTTTTCTCCGGGTACTCCGGTTTCCTCCCACATTCCAAAAACATGCGTGGCAGGTTAATGGAACATTCTAAATTGTCCCTATGTGTGAGTGTGAGTGCGAATGGTTGTTCGTCTCTGTGTGCCCTGCGAGTGGCTGGCAACCGGTTCAGGGTGCCCCCCCGCCTACTGCCCGAAGACGGCTGGAATAGGCTCCACCACGTCCTCGTGAAGACAAGAATTAGAATTAGGATGAGAAATTGGATAAGTGGATGGATGACATCATTTTCAAGTTACAGTGGAATGGTTAAGCTTTGAAACATGTTTTCCCGTTGGAAATAACGGAACTAATATATTAGAGGGTAAAAGTGTTCTTTTGGAATAATTGAGCACAATTTGATTGTGGATAAAAGGGCAAAATATATTGCAAATATACATTTGTATTCTTGTGTTGTTATGTGTGCGCGGTGCAATGTGCAGTTGTAAAAAGAAAGCCTTCCTGTAGGTCAAAGGATCATTGCCAATGGCGGATCTCCTTCCCCCTCCTAGGTGGCTGCTCCTTTTCAATGGGTTCACCAAAGCTTGACCTCTCGCCTGTCACACTAGACTTATTTGAGTGCTGCAAAGACCCTTGACTCCAGCGCTGCTCACAACTCCTGTTTTCCCTCCTTTTTATGCGTTTCTAAGTTTTTTCCCCATTTCCACTGTTGTTTGCATGCTTCGGCTCCACACTAAGCCCTTTTAGTCCGTGTGCCGACTGTATATTTTGAAGTGAATCCAAACCCAATAAGGCAAAAATTGCAAACCAATATTTGTGTAGCTGCAAAAAAATGTCCCAAAACGTTTAATATGTATGCCAAACCAGCAGGTGGCAATGTCCCCTCGTAAAGAAACGCTATCCAATGTACACAGGTGTACCAACAGCTGAAGCTGTCTTCGAAATACTTTTTTTTTTTTTTTTTTATTTTTTAGTATATCAATGGATTGAAAATGTGACTCTGTTGTATGCATTTGTTTTGTAGTAAATGGGCAATTTGATGAGAAAAAAATAATGTGTCCTTATTATGTGAATAGCCGCTACTTTCTGGTTCATGGACACCGATGTATCACTTTTGATACTGATGCGGGGCAGGTTTCCACAATCACAGCATGACCGAACCGAGGGGGAACTACACGGGAGTTGCTTTGAGAGAAGTTGCTTTGGGAGAAGAGGAGGAGGGGCTCCTCTTTCCCCTCTGGCAGAAACAAGAAAGTTTGAACATTGCTAGTCATCTTACTGCCTTGGCTGCCAAATGATATCTTGTCTGGTAGTTCAATCAATAGCTGTAAAGAAGTCAGTCCCATCACCAGGTACGCTAACTGTCTCGCTACTTTTTTGGCTCCGTCTCTGCTGGTATTGGGAGCTGGCTGTGCTGGATATAGTGCTTCTCGGTCCCACAGACCGCAATGATATTGTCCCACATTGCTTTTCTTTCATAACACTGCGTGTCTATTTTTTATTTTTATTTTTTTACTTTATCCGGCTGTGTGTCTGCTTGTGCCTGCACGGGCCGTAGTAAGTATGTTCTCGATGCCGCCAAAAGTTCACATCAGCAAACACGGCGAAATAGGCGGAGAAGCAAAATTTTCCCCTCGAATGCTTTATCCGCACCGCCCGGCAAGCAACCGTGCCTGACCGTGCAAACCGCATTGGCTATATACGGAAACGCACTGCACGAAACGCTCAGCTCGTGTTGGGTCTGACCGCGGGCATAAAAATATACGGTGAGCAAATGGTGCACTGCCAAGTTTATTTGCTTTTCTGTACATTAACTAGCAAGTACTTACTGGCTCAGAGGGCGACTCATAATGTTGCTAATTAACAAACGGGACCATACCATTTATGATTCTGGGGTGGGTGGGAGGCGATCCACTGAGACAATCAATGATTTGAACACGGGTAAAAATGAAAGATGTTAGTTTTCAACAGGACTCCCATGTGGATTTGAGGGTGAAAGGGAGCAGATTTGTTTCATACAGAATACGAAAATGGGTTTTCCTGGATTCAGTTTTATCTAACCAAAGTGTGGCTGTTCAATGAAAAGCTTCTCTGCAAGTTTGTCACCCATTTTTCTAATTCAATCTCCAAGTTGAAAGTGTCTTTATAATTCGCGAATGTGATTTCTGTTAAGAAAACAGAACCAAAATGCTGCTTTGCTGCCTAAGGTAAAAAACGTGGCTCATCAACATTATTAAACTTCAAAAGTGGAACATTTCTTAATGTAAGTAAAGTAAAATGATCATGAATTTAATGAGAAAACAGTTATTGTTGTCCAGTGAAAACCTTTATCTCAAAATTTTGTGACTTTGTGAACTACTAAAAATTGACCCATCAAGAATAATGAATGTGCCTTAAAATATAAACATAATTTTTAAAGTTATGATCCCACACACACCATTAAAATCATCGCTAATTGCAAATGTGCCCGATCAAAAGATGACACGCTTTATTGATGCTTTTGTCCGGTGGTTGCCGGCTAGTTATTAGCGGCTAATCTGCTAATGCCTACGCGGGCGGGCTGCGCTAACTCTGCTGGCATTTTCATGCTTTCCACTTCAACACGTTGGTGCCACTTGTTCAAATAATTCAAAAAGTTTATTGTATTGCTTTGTTTTTGTTGACCTACTAGCACTACGGCTTCCTCCTCCACGTTGCTCTGGAGATACAGCCGCAAAAACGATGGGAAGAATTTCTCTTGTCAAACGAGCTCCATCTTCCGAAGATAATGTGTATGAAGTTTTTCCTTTGGGGTGCTGATCGCTCTGCAAGAAAAAAAAAAAAGAGAGGACCGCTGATTTAGACTGCCAGATAATAAAAAGAAGAGTAGTAGTAGATGAAGAAATCGAAGAAACTACGCTAACGTGAATATTGAAAGAATCGCTTTTTCAAAAACAATGAAACAAATGAAGTCGCAACACGGTTCAAGCAAAGTAAATTTCCAAAGAATGCTAAATGTTGTAAAAATTGCCCTTTTAACGTGTGATGTACTTTGTATAAACATTTATTGTCACTAAATAAACGCACGCAATTTGGAACTTGGTGCATTTGATTGGACAGCGACGTTAATGTCGAATCGAATGACTGTTTAAATTGCATGTTTGTGTAGCACGTTCACCTCCTCAGAGAACGACACAGCCCCCACCCCCTGCTCTCTGCTACTCCACCACCACCACCCCCCACCCCCCTTTGCCTGACTACCCCCTCCTCATAAGAGCGGCTGTTGTCACCTAAACTCCACATGGTGAACTCAGCCTCTATATTTAGGCTGTTCGTAAAGTTCGGTCGAGCAGCGCCCCTCGCCTCACTGTGACGCCATTCTTGGTCCACGCCGCTTCGCCCGCACCAACCCGGCCTCGTCCGCTACGTTTGTAGACGTCACCGACATTACAAAGCCTCCGACAAACATTTCGCTCCTCTTCTCACATGCATATGGATGGGGCCGGCATCGGTAGGGTTAATAGCAGTCACTCAGCATGCGGGAGCTGTGGCAGGCGGGCAGGCGGTGCAGTGCAGAGGATGACCTCTGACCCTGCTGGAAAGGAATGTGGAAGCTCTTTCATCCAGGACAGAAACCAAAGACACCCAGGCGGAAAGTGGCGGTTCAATGCTGCTTTCAGCCTTCCTGATTAGGGGAAGTGAGCGCCGCTTCCAGCAAACGTACGTACGTGGGCATCGAAGCCATTTTGGAAGCAAAGTTCCTGCTCCAGCTTTTATGATTTGTGCAGTGAGGCTTGTGCGATTGGACGGTGGGAACGGTCGCCGTTTTATTGTTTGTGCTGAAGCTCTTAAACTGCCTGTGCTTCGACGCTCCTCTTACTTCAATGCCAGCACAATGTCAAGATGCCAACAATTCTAAAAGTCAAGCAAAAATCAGTCAACTTCAACCAAGATTACTTCGTGTTAGAATTTCAGCAGTGTCAATAGTTTAGTGCAGGGATGGGCAATTTCAACAGCAGAGGGGGGCACAGTTTTTCATCAGCACTAATTAGGGGCCACATAGGAAGGTACACTTCTAAACCAGATGCATGATATAATGTCATATTCACCACTCAAAGATTTTAATATTATACTACCTTATTTTTGTACATGCATAACAATCACATGCTCAAATTGATAAGTTGCCTCACTCACCTGTGTGAATGGAGTACAGTGTAGGGCAGTCAAGTTGTTCCCTGATGGGTCCCCTTGGTAAGGCGAGTCTACCACAACAGCCGCTCTTCCAATTAATTGACCATGTGCGTTTGTCACACTATTCAGTGTTGAATCCATCTCTGTTTTTGGAGGACACAAATCGATTAACTCCTCTTGCACTCCCAACCAACACTCAGTGATGTGGAAAAACAAAATCATTGTTGTCTGTGTATTTTTGAGACTGTGTTACGGTGGCCATGACACTCTCCTCTTCTTCTCTGATGCATTTTACAGCACCTGGTGAGCAATGTCTGCCATTCTGTGGTTAACATTGGGATTACATCTTTCAATGGCTCAGCAACAGCAAACCCCCAAAAACGACATTTACCCAAATCTGCCATTTTAAAACAACTAATTGTCTCAAGGCGGCCCAGTGATCAAGTGGTTAGCGCGTCGACCTCACAGTGCAGAGGTCGTGGGTTAGATCCCGGCTCTGGCCTTCCTGTGTGGATTTTCCATATTCTCCCCGTGCCTGCGTGGGTTTTGTCCGGGTACTCCGGTTTCCTCCCACATTCCAAAAACATGCATGGCAGGCTGATTGAACACTCAAAATTGTCCCTCAGTGTGAGTGTGAGGGCGAATGCGCTTGCAAAAGGCAAGGAAAATACAAACGGAAATTGCTCGTCCCAAAAGGACAGGAGAATCAAATCATGACAAATACCAAACCAAGCATAACTTAACAAACTATTTACAAGAAAATGGAAAGCAATTAACAAGGAACGAGAAAAACTGAACAAAATCTGGAACGTCTAGAAAGTTGCACATGAATAATAGCTTGAGCAAGGCGAATTATCCGACAGTCGGTTGTCGGCTTGGAAGTCCTGAAATAGTTTGTTGAGCATGATGGTTAACAGGTGAGCAGCTGGAAAGACCGGAACACCTCGGTCACCTGCTGGAAACTAACAGAAACTAAATCATGATAAAAAGATACTTTGGTACCTCCTTGGGTCAACTTTTGCCTTCTTTTTCCTGTGAACAGCACATGGAACTTACAGGCCATGACAATACTGTCAGTATCTCTGAAGGTGTACTGTCTGAAGATGATCTAAATTTGGATTGTTGTGTTGGAGAGTATTGTTTATTATATGAGGAAATAAGTCGTGGCCTGTAATTCGGTATCAGATGGGGATGTGTGTGTATGCTGTTCATCACCTTGAATCGATGAGTTGAAAATTCGGGAGATAAACGCCGTTACCCGAATACAAATCTTTTTTTTTCTTTGATCTTTTTTTTTTTTTTTTTTTTTTTTTTTTTTTATTGCACGCCTTTTTTTTTTTTTTTTTTTTTTTTTTTTGTAATGACAGCCTATTGTTATTACAGATTGCGGCCAACGTTAGAAATTGGAGTATTATTCGAAATCGGAAGTCTTACTTGGGGTATGGGTGGAGTGTATATACTCGTGTGTGTGTGTGTGTGTGTGTGTGTGTGTCTGGCCGATGTCGATTGAGGCTATCCACGTTGTGTGTGTGTGTGTGTGTGTGTGTATGTCCGTGCATATGTGCTTTTTCCGTGTTTTAGTGTGTGCTCGTGTGTGCTCGTGTGTGTGTGTGTGTGTGTGTGTGTGTGTGTGTGTGTGTGTGTGTGTGTGTGTGTGTGTGTGAGAGATGCTGCACAAGCCTATGGCTAAATACGTTGCACGTCGCTGTTGTGCGGCAGTACGACACGGCATGGTTCAATCCAGGAATGTGCGACGTGGGTAGGCTGCAACAATGGAGCCGGGCTCCCTGAGGGTGGTCAATGGGATGGGTGTCACCCCCCTGCACCCTCCCTGATGGGTGATGATCACTGCACAATGCTACAGCTGTCAGGTCCTCTTATCCACCACTGTAAACACACACACACACACACACACACACACACACACACACACACACACACACATACACAGGAGAGCACACACGTGACCTTCAGTATATGACATAACATTTGAAATTCACAAAATTGCTTCACAGTCCTTTTTTTTTTTTTTTTTTTAATATCGCACAATAGTTAGTGTGTGTGTGTGTGTGTGTGTGTGTGTGTGTTTTATGTACAGTGGAGCCCAGAGATAAGAGGTTAATATATTGCCTTTAGACTGGCTGTGAGTAAATAATATATATAATATTGCTGTATTTTCCGCACTATACGGCACTTTGGAGTATGAAGCACACCTTCAATGATTTTAAAACTGTTTTAATATATAGGGTGCGCTGCATTTATAAGGCCCATAGAATGGAAGCTACAATAGTGGCTGCGGTTGCGTTATGCATCCACTAGATGGAGCTACGCTAAAGGAATGCAATACAATACAAACCTAACATTCAATCATGAAAACATTTTTTTCTAAGTATAATTTCACATCTGAATCAAGAAATATTGTTTTGCCTTTTTTTGGTCATTATTTTGTAATTAATGGGTAACTAATATTTCTATTTTATCACTAAAAATATTTGGGTTGAAGAGCTTCTCTTTCAGGTATATTAACAATGACAGAAAAACATTCTCTCTCTCTCTCGCCGTCTCTCTCTCTCTCTCTCTCTCTCTCTCTCTCTCTCACATTTTTTTTACATTTTTTTTTAACCAGCATATATACGGTAAATAATACACCATTTACAGGTATGTGTGTTATGTGTACGGTATGCACTATGTACCATAGCAGTCAAAATGGGAGTGGTGACCCTCTCAAAAGAAATTATTTCATGAGGTCCTCATGGAGCTTTAAAAGACACTTTTTCTTGTGTGTATCCGTACACTTGTAAGTGTACGCGTGTGCATGTTTTGTGCTGTGCATGCCAAAACACGATGCCTGCAGAGGCATGTAGACGCGTTTGTTTACACGTAAACAACATCAGAAGCATCTGTCAAAACACTTGCAGCAAATTCCATCATATTAGCTGTCATTCTCAACTCGGTGACCTCTTACACACAAAAAGCGTGCGAGTGTGTAAGTGTGCCTGTTAGTGTGTGTTTTGTTCAACATGTGTTTACACGGTTTCAAGTATACGCTCTGGACTCACGTGGTACCTGGCACTGCCGTTGTTATGTCCGCTCAACCTTGGACTTAACTGCCGTGTTAGTCGGTGGCAAAGGGCGCAGAGGTCAGCTGGGGTGCATAAAGGAATGTGTAATGGCCGAGGGGTGATGGGGTTAAAAGGATGGACTGCTCAACTTTGAGGCGAGTTGTTGTTTTCGTTGACCTCAAAGTGTGCATCAGTTTTGGTGTTGAATTTCGGGTTGTTATTGTCAACCTTTGGGCCATGTGTGTGTTTTCCTGAGCGTCCTCGCCCACTTTCATGACAAGAAAGGCGCTTATAAATAAAATGTATTATTATTATTATTATAAGTACATACCTGTACATTTACACGCACACAAATGTAAGATAAGATAAGATAAGAAAACCTTCATTAGTCTCGTACACACACACACACACACACGCACACGCACGCACACACACACACACACACACACACACACACACACACACACACACACACGTATGTAATGGAGTACCATGGCCATAAAAACACTCTTGGTAATCTTATCACACTTGTCATTCAGCGCCCTCTAGTGAGCGGAAGTAGTTTAGGCTGGAAATTACTTGCAGTTTTTAAACCAGAGGGTCACAGTCCAAGTTCCGCTGTAGATTAAGTCAAATGACAACTCGTCATTGGAGAAATGCGAGACTGGATCTTGACTAGAGGTGCACAATTAGTATATTTCTGGAATGTTTAATTAGAAGAACCATTTTGTTTTGTCCTAAGCAGAAATACATCAAAAATAATACAACTAAAAATCATGACCATGTAACAGATATATTTGTGATCCAAACTTGATCAAGTTTGGATGATTTTATTGCAGCATCAATTGTTTCATTGAAGAACAAAAACAAATAAATGTTGAATTATATACGACACAACCCCAACAAAACCTATTTCAAAAATCAACCAAAAAAAAGCACCTTCCCTTCCAAAAATCCCAACAAATTTCGTATCAAATTGTTTGAATAAAAGAGCCCCTCTCCAAAGAAATCTACATTCCAGAGTCTTTATTATATGTGCATATGACAGAAGAATTCTTTGTGTTTTTGATTGCGTACTTGCATGGAATCTGGTTGTTTTAGTCAGATTCAAGCAAATAATTACACTGGTCAACACCAGTTGTAATCAGAGACTTTATGTGTCCCTCAACGTAATTTTGACACTGATTTTAAAAATGTAGTACACCAGGTTTTTGAGATATTTTCTTTTGCTGTTGTTGTTGTTGTTAAGTTTAACCTATACAAGCGTGCACATTGTGGATTTTACCATGTGATGTAAGTTACAGCTGTGGCATTTCAGGGGAAAAAATATATATTATTTACTATATTACACATCATATAATTGTTATTGTAGTATTTTGTTATTATGATGAAATCGTCTTATTTTTCCCAACTCTACCTAAATACCCTAAAAGTCAACCTTCAGTTTGATCAAATCTTGGTTTATTCATTTCCATGGAAACTTTCCAAATTTGATTTTTTTTCTTTACTTCTGTCGAGGTGCTCTTGAGCAAGCACGGACCGACCGACCTGCATCGCATCACACTGAGAACTTTTTTTAATGGCAGGCTACATGCAACCGTTGCTCTGTTTTAAAGTGATGCAGCGCAGCAACGCAAAACAAGTTCATTTGTATAGCACATTTCATGTTCAAAAAAATTCAAAATGCTTGACATAAAACATCAAAAGCAAAGAGAAACCAATTCATCAGGACGATAATCGTAATAAAATCATCTCAAATATCTATCGAGCCATGTTTACACAACTTTGTCATGTTCGACTTTCTGTTTGTTTTCCTCCCAGAGTCAAGATGCAGAAGAGTATTTGGCACTCGCCGCCAAGCGTGGCTCTTGGAACTGGGTGAGGAGGAGACGTGAGAGGAGGAAAAGTGCAACACAAGGAAATAAAGACAGACAGCAGGATTAGTAAGTAGGATACTTTGTATTAGACCAAATACAGTGGTACCTCTACTTACGAACGTCTCTTCATACGAATTTTTCAAGTTACGAAACATCTCAACAGGAAAATATTGCCTCTCGTTACGAAACAAATTTCAAGATACGAAAGGTGAGAAAACAATTTGGACCACTACTCGCAGCTCCGGGTTTCCTGAACGCAACATACTCATAGCTGCTCTGCCATTGGCTACTATCGAGCATCATCCTGGCATCCCATTGGCTAAGAGGGACCTCTACCGTATGTGACTATGTGTGTAGATAGAGAGATGTGTGTCAGTGCAGCGTACTCGTCATTCGCCCTTCGCCTAAATGTGAATCACCCAGAGAAAGTGTTCACCGGTCGGGCGATCGTTCACTATGCTGATGTTTGCCTTGGACATTTTCGAAGGATTGTTGAAAGCCGACAAAAGCAAACGTCCTTGGATCAGTTCTTTACAAAACGCCAGGCAAAAACCACTTGTGAGAGAGAACATGGACTAAACAGGGGGAAAAAAAATGACAAGAACGCAGTTACAAGTTAAATGACCATCATTGTTATTCTTTATTCTTTGTTTTTTACATTATGCACAACTCCCATTTATTGTGCAACGATCTAATTGTAACATGTATTTGTTACATATTTTGATGCATTACTTTCATGCTTTAGAAAACATTTTTGTCTGAATTTTGGGGAGGGCTTGGAACGAATTAGGGCATTTACATGGAAAACGCGTCTCTCCGAACAAAGTTGTCAAGTTAAATTTCTTCCAGAGCCAATTAATTTCGTAAGAAGAGGTACCACTGTATTGTACTTGTCGGGCGGCCCGGTGGTCGACCGGTTAGAGCGTCAGTCTCACAGTGCAGAGGTGCAGGGTTTGATTCGGCCTTCCTGTGTGGAGTTTGCATGTTCTCCCCGTGCCTCTATGGGTTTTCTCGAAATCATCCCTAGGTGTGACTGTAAGCATGGATGGTTGTTTGTCTCGGTGTGCCCTGCTATTGGCTGGCGACCAGTTCAGGGTGTACCCCGCCTGCTGCCCGAAGACTGCTGGGATAGGCTCCAGCACGCCCCGTGACCCTTGTTAGGATAAAGCGGATAAGCAAATGGACGGACGGATGTTTATTTGCTTTTAGTGGTTGGTTCAGTGCCTTGCTTGTGGGCACCTCGGCAGTGGTCAGAATGCAGACTAACATCCGTCCTTGTGTTTCACTGCAGATTCTCGCTCATCTCGATGTTTCACTCAAGCTTCTACTGAGCCGCCACTTCGCCACCCAAACCACCTGTCGGCCCTCCAACTTCCGACATTGAGCCCACGAGGCAGGGGAACCCCGAGTGGACTTTCATGGCAGCGGCTCTCTAGGGCTGCCATGGCAGCTGCTGCCGCCGATGCCTCACACCGTATTACCGCACTGACGCCGGAGGAAGAGGGACGACGGACTGCCGTCAAGTTGTTTGGGAGCGCCGGCTCGCTGCCACGCACAGAGCGAGAGAGGGGGAAAGAGAGAGAAGACGAGGAAGAAGAGGCGGGGAGAGGGAACGAGTGTTTGGTGTGCGGGGCTCTGTTCGCCTCTCAGGAGAAGCTCCGGCTCCACGCCGTGAGTCACACGGGAGAGAAACCTTTCCACTGCTCACAGCCGCACTGCCCCAAGGCCTTCAGCTCCAAATACAAACTCTTCAGGTACTCAGAGCGTTTATCACACGCTTGATAGGTCAAGGTCATAATATACATTCAGAATAGCAGAAGTGAGGGATCCAAGTCAAATGACTTGACTTGAGTTGATGCCAATTTAAGATTCCCTGATTTACGAAAGACTCCACATGTCTCGTGAGACTCGACTTGACTTTGAGTTGAACCCAAGGACTTGACAAATCATACTGTTTTTGTTTACAAATCTGCCTTTTGCTTTTGAAAGAAAAACATTTTCTTCTAGTGCAACTGGGCCATCGCGTTGCTGTGGCCACCCCAGAGTGCATCGTGGCTGGCCACAATTCCGGCCGACTGAATTTCAACACCGATAACACGATGAAGCTTCCAGTCAGAATAAAGGTGTTTTCCTGATCACATTAAGGAGAACAGTGACCCAATGGAAGGAAAGCTTATTTACATAAAAAATGTGAATGACTCAAATGACTGTCTTACATCCCAGGGGGAGTAAAGCCCAACAAAAATAGCTTGAAAAATTGCATCATGGGCATTTCCAACCTAAATTATCTTGCAAACCAAAATGGAGACGAAAGGTTACTTTTTAAAAAATTGTGGCCGCTGTCTTGTCTGTTGGCACTTGTCACTCAATGAGCAGACTGCGCAAGTATTTTTTCATCAGGTAACTGGAAAAGCCATCGAAGGCTTTGATTTCATGAATTTTACTGGTACCAAAAGTTGTATTTATTCCTTACTTGTGCTGTATATAGTATGTTCATTCGCTTCTCTTAATTTCATTTTTGAAAAATGGTAATGATATGCGGTGTTGCCACCGTTACCTTGAAAAAGAAACTTAGTTATACAGTCATACCTCGGTTTTTGACCATAATCCGTTCCAGAAGGCTGTTCGAAAACCGATTTGTTCGAAAATGGAAACCACGCTCTTTTTTAAAAAAAAAATCATTATTGAACACGTCTGCTCACAATGAAACCCTACACGAGTGTCACGTTGCGAGGTGGTGGTGGACCCCAAAAAGCAGGCAAGAGGGAGGAGCAGGTTGAACTTGAAGAAGTGTATTGAAACAGAGAAAACTAAATCCAAAACAAACATAGTCCAAAGTAGCAAACAAAAATGACAACTGAAGCTAGAACAGAACTGTGACCAAAACATGACCGAAACAAACCTGACAGTAGCAGACAAACGGCAACAAACAAACATGACAGTAGCAAAGAGCAACAATGACCCGACAATGAGTGGTCGGGCTGGGAGTCCTTTTAAAGCACTAATTACCTAATGACCAACAGGTGTGCAGCTGCAGCCCTACAGTGCCACCTGTTGGTCCCAAATCGAATCATGACAACGAGGAAGCGTCACTTCCTCGTGTAAGGAAGGCGAGAGGACTCAAGTGGCGCATTCAAGTGCGCTCAGTTTGGTCGAGAACCGATTTTCGCTCGTCTTCCGAGGCATAAAAAAACTCAAAATTTTTGGTCGAAAACCGATTTGGTCGAGAACAGAGACGTTCGAAAACCGAGGTTTGACTGTACTAATGTTCTACACTACACGCTGTCGGTGCAATCTTCTCTGACCCGCTAATCAAATCTGGTCCTCCGCAGGCATATGGCCACACATTCTCCACAGAAGACCCACCAGTGCTCGTTCTGTGAGAAAATGTTCCACCGTAAGGACCACCTGAAGAACCACCTGCAGACCCACGACCCCAACAAGGAGGCCTTCAAGTGCGAGGAGTGCGGCAAGCCCTACAACACCAAACTGGGCTACAAGCGCCACGTGGCCATGCACTCGGCCACAGCGGGGGACCTCACCTGTAAAGTTTGCATGCAGAGGTACGAGAGCACGCCCGTCCTCCTGGAGCACCTCAAGAGCCACTCGGGGAAATCATCCGGCGGGGCCAAGGAGAAGAAACACCCGTGCGACCACTGCGATCGCCGTTTCTACACGCGGAAGGACGTGCGGCGACACATGGTGGTGCACACTGGCCGAAAGGACTTCCTGTGCCAGTACTGCGCCCAGCGCTTCGGCAGGAAGGACCACCTGACGCGTCACGTGAAGAAGAGCCACTCGCAGGAGCTGCTGAAGATCAAGACCGAGCCTCCGGATATGCTGGGCCTCCTCGCCTCCGGGTCGCCTCCTTGCACCGTGAAGGAGGAGCTCAGCCCCATGATGTGCAGCGTGGCTCCGAATAAGGACCCCATGATGGGCAAGCCTTTCCCAAGCGGGGCCCCCTTCCCCATGGGCGTGTACAACCCCCACCACCTGCAGGCCATGTCAAACTCCGGAGTGACCCACCCTCACCCGCCCCTGATGTCGGCGCCCCTATCCATGGGCATGGGCTGCCACATGGAGTCCACTGGATCCCTGCACCCCCACTCCCATCACCACCACCACCATCACCACCACCACCATCACCACCGTTCCCCTCCGCCGCCCCCGCCCCACCACCAGCCCTCGGTCCCCCAGCAGCAGCACCATTCCCAGCAAGCCCCCAAATACCAGCTGGGATCTACCTCATACCTGCTGGACAAACCCTTGAAGGTGGAGATGGAGAGCTTCCTCATGGATCTGCAGAGTGGCTTGCCGGGCCCGCTTCCCTCCGCGGAGCCTCACGCTGCTGTTTCGCCCCCCAAGGATGGACTGGAGCCTCCCGCTGGCCTGCCAGAAGAACTTTGCGGAGATCCCCTGCTGTCCAAGAGCCCCGCGGTGATCGCCGAGTCTCTCTCTGCTGCTAACATGGACTTCTCCCACTTGCTGGGCTTCCTTCCGCTCAACCTCCCTCCCTACAGCGCCCCCATGAGCACGGGAGGACTGGTGATGGGTTACACTTCGTCTGCCGCCTCCTCGTCTTCCTCCTCCTCCTCTTCATCTCTGCACGCTGCCGAGCCTCACGCCGCAGCAGTTGCCGCCGCAGCCGCCATGGCGCCTCTTACCTCTTTGCAACCACAACCTCAGGAGCATCAGAGCTCCGGCGGGGGTCTTGGACTTGGACCTCTGCACCCTCTTCCACCAGTATTCAGCTCCAGCCTTAGTACCACCACACTGCCTCGCTTCCACCAGGCTTTTCAGTGAGAGTTTTCAAAGCTAGATTAAAACAAACAGTGAGTAGATTTTGAATTTAAAAAAAAAAAAAAAGAAAGAAAAAAGAAAAAGAAAAAAAAAAGAAAAGAGAGAAAACTTAGATGCCTTAAATGAAAGCACACACAAGATTGGAATTTATCCCTAAAAGTATACAAAAGGCCCTTTTGGAAAAATGGGGTGAAAAAGAAAAGGAAGCTGCTTTTATTTGGGATTTTATTTTCCTTTTACCTCTAGTTTTAATGATGTATTAATGCTTTTTTTTTTTTCCATTGCCATTTATGTCCCCTTATATTTGCATCCCCATTTAGTAGCGTAGCAGGCAGAGTCACGGTACTGCTTTCTTCCTAAAGCAATAGGACACATATATCAAAGTTTAGTGACGATCTTTATTGTTGTTACCCAGAAAAAAATATATATATCGTTTGAAATGGATATTTTTGTTTGACTTAATTTTCCTTTTCCCTGAACCACAGTAGAACGTCTCATCTTGAGAGGGAAAAGAAGAGCTACGGAATCCGCAATTTACCTCAAACGTTCTCCCATTTAATCGCACAAATGGGATCCTTCTGGGGACAAAAAAAAAGTGCTCTTTTCGCAATCTGTAAATTTGGCGGATGGCTCCTTTTTTATTGCTTGGCGTCCGTTACAGTCACGTTTGAATGGAAAACGGAAAAAGCATCTGGCATTTTAAAGGGGAAAAAAGAAAGAATGTGAAAAGTGTTGGTTTAAACATGATGCAGATTTAAAAAAAAAAAAAATCATCAAGAGAAGCACTTTTTTATTTTACCCGAAGGCATTTCCATCTTTAGGAATCGGCTTTGTTTCAAACCTCATGATCGTACTTTTGAGGTCGCAACACCCAGAATCGACTTCCTTCCAACAGTTATGCTAAAAAGTGGTCTTGTGGAGCATTCTTAACTAGCCCATAAAAAAAGAGCCTGTACTTGCGAGAATTTAGTAGGGATTTGCAAGGAACGTCAAAAACTGATATTTCTCCCTGTAAAAGCTTTGGCATTTTTCTTTTCAACGCTGAATGTTATCAAAATATATGCCATAACCCCCCTCACGCAAATTCCAAAATACAACACTTGTTATTGGCAAACGATCCTTTTTTTTGCGCAGCGGCATGTCTGGTCTGTCGCAGTGGACGACATGCTACTTGTTTTTTATCTGGAGTACATCACTGCGATCCCGTTCAAAAATAAAATAAAAAAAATCCTGCTTTCTGACTAAATTCTCGTATGTCACGGCGCATAAAATCGGCCTCTTTAGCTTGGGCCGTCTCTTTCGAAAAGATGTCATGAGGATCCCTGACATATGTGAATGCTTAAAACAAAAAAAAAAAAAAGAGTTACAGAGGCAGATGAGGAAAAAATGTGTTCAAGAATGTTATTGCAGTGTACGAAATATCTCAAAAATGATTAGCGTAAACACTTTTATCTCAGTAAATGCGTATTTTATCTAGTTTAACAAAGTGATGATGTTTCTTTTTGGTTGTCCGGCAGGTTTACATTTGTGTTGATCCTCTCTCTCTCTTTCTCTCTCAAACAATGGATGAAGTATTAGTTTTTGTTTTTGTTTTCCCTTAAGCTTTCTCTCATATCCAGTCATTACCTTCACATGTACTTGAGTTAGGAGAGCGGAATCAGAACTGTGGACGCTACGATATTTATAGCAGGCTCTTAATGGCTTCATCGTCACTTAGGATTTGATCTAGCTAGAATGTGTCAATAAGAATGCTGACATGGACGAACCTACTACGCGCGATCGTAGGTCGCCGTTCCAGATATTTTCAATCCTGTTCACCGCCAGACTATAGGAACCTGAGCCCAAAGTTAACCCTACGCCTCAAAAGGTCACATATAGTGGATAGAGAAAATGTGGTTTAAGGCCATGAGAACTCACGCAAAAAAAAAAATTCAAGCAAAACTAAGGGAAAATACAATTCACTTGAAAAGGAGCAAATCGTTTAGTAGAGGGGAATAAAAAAAAAACAAAAAACTTAGTTTTAGTACCTTTTGCTTTAATGGGGTCGTTCAGCATGAGACATCTTAACTAGGCAATTTTTGCCCGCTCTTCTGTCAAAATTGATTTCTATTTGGACCTGCTCGTAAGTGCTTCCACCTTGACTTATAAGGCTGCTGCTAAATCTGAAGAAAAACAGCCTCAAAGCACGATGCTGCACTGTGAGCATACGCTTCCACTGCTTTTGTTTTAGACCAAGCGCCAAGTCCGCGCCTCGAGAGCCCCTATCCAGTCTGTTTTCGATGTCTCCCTCTTCCAACACGCCTGATTCAAACAATCGGGGTCCTCATTTAGTTTAGCAAAGGCACATTTTTTTTAAGTTCGAAAAATCGCACGTCACATCAACAAAGTTGTCACAAAAAGAGTATACATTTGTCAATTAGATACTAGAAGATCATTTATTTGTTCTTTCTGTCACTATGAGTTACTGGCACAGATAACCGGACAAAGATGCAATATTTGTTATTCATAAATACTTTTCTTACCAGTTAAGTGAAGTTTTATTAGTTTCCGCACACCGTTAGAGCTCTCGCGGCACACTAATGTGCCACGGCACACTGGTTGGGAATCATTGATTTAAAACAGACTTGATAGGGCCTCTTGAGGACTGGATTTGCGCACCTCTGATTTAGAATAAGCATCCTTTTTTGCAATAGAGTCACACTTTAACCTTCTTTAGACAATAACCCATTTGCCCACATGTTTGGAGAGAGGCATAACTTTTTTTGAAATGTAGGAAGACCTTTTTTTGGGGGGCCTGGGGGGGTCTAGCATCAAATAATAGAGAGCGGTGAAGATGTAGCATGCTGGAAGGCTCCCGTCAATCCGTCATTAAAGCAAAAGGCGGCTCCACAAAGTCAACGTTTTAGGCTGTCGACGATCATTTTGGTGGTTTCTCGTATTGATCAACTCACGATTCCTTTATCCACTATATGTACTCTCATTTAAAGCTACGGCCAACCTCATGCCATGAGTTATGAGAAGGCCACGCCCACTTCAGGCTGTTGAGCTGTTGATGAATAACAAACACACACACACAAAAAAACAGCACATAAAAAGTAAAATATTTCTTGCTGCTCGTATCTACGGTTGCAGACAACTGTAGACCACTAGATGATTTTTTTTTGGTTTATTTGTTTGTTTTGTTGTTGCAAAATGGACAGAAGGATGCACAACCAACCCAAACTGACAAAATATACATCAGCTCCTCAAACCCCAGCCTCATTTTCCCCCCACAACCCATCCTCCCTCTCTCTCTCGGCTGCTTAGTAGAGTAAAAAAGAAAAAGGAGTCGAAAACAATGGCGGGGTATTGCTTTTTTTTTTTTTTTTTGTCGTTTATTTGTTTTGTCTGTTTGTTGATATTATTGTTGTCTGTTTGTACAAAGGACCTCGAGAGAAAAAAAAAACACAACACATCACCTCATTTTTATTTTTCTTACCAAAACCTGGGGAGAAGAAACTACACTTTTGCACAATCGCTTGTCATGAGATGCTACGTGCTGTCCGACATTTTTACCAGAGGAAATGAAAGCACCAGGCTGCTCAACACAGAATAATTGTCCCACAGTTGTCACTAGTTCATCCCTTCATGATTTCATCGTTCAACTTCGGAATTTGATTTAAAGTGTTTTTTTTTTTTTTAACTTTTTTTTGTTGTTGTTTTTTTTTTTACCCCCGCATTGTACTTATTCTCAAACTGGCTCTTGTAAATGAGTCATGAGTCATGACGCGATTTATTAATCCTAAACGAATTAGCTGACGGCACCTTTTTGAGTTTTGTTGTTGATATGTCTTGAGGAACAAAACAAAAACAAAACAATAAAGCAAGATTCTAAATTGAGCTGTGTGATGATTCAAATAAAAAGGTTGTTTCGAAGAAAAACCCTCTTGGCTTAAGCCAAATGTTGTAGCAATCAAATTAAACATATTCTAGTTTTGTAACAAATATTCCTAAAGATTAAAAAAAAAAACTCAAAACGCCTTCTATATATTAAAAAAAAAATGAAATGAAAAGCTTTTGGCATGTATTAAGTTTGTCCTCCCTGGGTTTCTGTGAGCTAATCTGAGTTCTAGCACTTTCAACCTTTTTTTTTTAAATAAGAGTATTTTTTTTTCCTTTTAAAGTTTCAGCTTATATGTTCATATGGTTTTTAAATTTTGTATTGAACCTGTATATGTATGTGCCATTAGCTTAACGTGTAGACTTTTATCAGCATTTGTGTATTTCTCTTCTGGGGGAAAAAAAAAAAGAAAAGAGTAACAGTATTTTTGATAGACTTTTCACTAATAACCTTGAATACATTGAAACCCCTTTTTTCCTACAAACTCGCTCCCTGACGATAAGCCTTCTATCATTAATGTACCCGATCTAATTCTCCAGGCAAGTGCTACAAGAACACAACAGCATACTGTTTACGCCGAAGGGCTCCAAAATACAATTGAGAAAAAAAAAGGAGGCAAAAAAAAAAGCACTTAAAGCTCATTCATTCTTATGCCACATATTCGAGTGACAAAAGTGCCCTTTAATTCACAATCTGTCTGTCATTTATAGCACTTACAAACTTACAAAGGGGAGTGGAACATATTCACTCATAATGGGACCCCCGTGAAAAAACTTGTTTGATTAAAGATTCAATGGAGTCAACTTAAACCCTTTGGCGGTAGAAGGTACTTTGTCAGATAGGAACCATTTTGGCTCATCTAATTTGAAGCTGTGGCAATAATGAAAGGAACTGACACTGCCCACTAATTATGATTATGAATGCTAGTATTATAGAAATGTATTATTGCCACTTAAAAAGGACTTTGAGACCCTCCCCAGAATGATTAACATCGAAAAGAGATGGGAATGATGATGACATCACAATTACGGGAGGCACTCCTCAACTTAATAGTCAATGAAAGTACACGTTCCACTGAATGGAATCGCTCCAAGTACTTTTTTGGGGGACGGTCCTTATGAACATCTCACTGACTGGGACATTCTGACATGGCTCTTTGCGTTTCAGCGATGCTGTTGTCTTCTTCGACTTCACATTTGGCTCTTTGACCTCAAGCTACACCTGCTAGGGATGCACTTATCCTCACACTTCCTTTTAACTAGCAGGTTTATGCAAAAAAAAAAAATTGTTGTCGCTGTTTTTTTTTTTTTTTCCACGCTTTCTGTCCCATCTCTGCTTCCGATTAAGATACTGGGTACTGTCTGATAGACAACATCCAAATGTAGTTTTCTATATTTTGAGTTCAATGTTAAAGTTGTGCATTCCAGCCTTTTGTTTTTTGTTTGTTGGCATAGATCATTTTATTTGTATAACTTGCTATGACAGCCACCTCTGGAAAAAAAAAAGGTGAAAACAGGTGTATTTGCTTACAGGATGTCATACAGCTACACAAATGACTATTTCAATGATGTGCTTGGGAGATAGGAAGTAATATCAATAAGCAATAAGTCTTGCTTTTTTTGTTTTTGTTTTTTTGTGGAACATAGCTCACATGCAATCAGTTGCTGCAATGTAAAAGTGACAGAGTTGTATATTGGTTGATCCAAAGACATGATGATCACAACAACAAAACTATTGACTTATTGTACAGTACATTGTATGACTTTTGAGTTTTAATGTGTTACGTTGACATGATTAAAAATACAAACCAGGGCATTCATACCTTCTTTGCACCCTTTTTTCGTTTGGATTCTTTTTTTTTTAAACCCCTTGGGACTTGCGCGAAGGTCGTAACTTGACGCGCCACAAGGCCCATTTCACAAAATCCATATGGACAACTCATGTGAAACGAAAAGCACAGATCGCCAAATGATTGCACACCAGAGACCCATCTACTAGTCGAAAAATAAAAAGCCGATACATGTGCCCTTTAATCAAAATTCAAGGACATTTGTCACTTGTTTTAGTTTCGTCAACAATAAATTTGAAGCCCTAAAACATAATCGGCATGTCTTCAAGTGTTATCCAGACATCTGAGTTGATTGTACAAATAAAAGTACCCTCGGTTATGCTTGCAGAGGGTGATTGCATAGAGTGGACGGGAGAGGTTGGATGAGGTGTCTAAACTGGCAAATGCAACGTCTTGGTTGAGGAGTTCAACTCATTATTGATTTAATCCACTTTCAATTAATTTCCTATCAAGCCGCCTGAAAGCTGATCCCGACCAGTGCATGAAATAAATCTGCGAGTAAGAGCAAAGAAGAAATACCACATGATGATTCATGTTGGGCACCTTGTGCTCGATGGCATGTTACATCGAATTTTATTCAATCAAATGAGCTGCCGCTCACTTGAGCACACGCCTTTACATTCTCCTTTAATTAAATGCGTAATCAATCCATGACTGTGTAACCAATACAATTACTTAGGACCCCGGGAATTAACGTGACGACAGGTTGTGGACATGCAGCAGCATCCGGGGGGGGGGGGGGTCACTCTAACAAGTGTCTGCAAACTAGCGTCATCGCACCCCATTTGTGTCGCCATTTTCTTTCCATTTCTACCATTGAATGGTCCCTCACCTCTCTGACTGCAACCAGGATTAAAATTGGCCCATTGAGGGTATTGTTATAGGTTCTCCTCCAGAACACTGCCAAACAATCATCACTGACACCACCCCTCATTTAAATAACATAATTAAAGGGCACTTTTGTCTGGTGCTATGTTTATTAGTTTATCTTCTCCAAGGGAGCAACAGCAGAACGCAAAGCAGGGGGGTCATCAACCCTTTTCAAATGAGGAGCTACTTCTTGGAAACAAATTAATGCAGTTTGATACGCACTTGTGAAATAAATGTTATCAAATGACATTTGATTATATATTATTGACACAGTTCGGAAGGAAGTGAATGGTGATCGGATCCCACAAACGTAGACACAAATAAAATCCGTACAAAAAAATATTTATTTAATAACAAAAATGCAAAAACTACCGACAATGTAGGAACAGAAATTGTTGGTCAACAAGAATCAGGAAAAAACATACTTCAAGAAAAAGTGTTTGCAAAGGCAGGGAAATTGTTCATTCGAGTATACAAACAAAATGGCTAGAGTGCAATTGCACGAAACAAAAACAGAGCAAGATCAAACAACAAAAAATATGAATACAAGGTGAGAGACTAGAGAGCAAAAAACATCAATGACTAGTTCGAGAAGTCTAGAAAATAACACTTGAGCCAGAGAAGCAAACAAGGTCAATAATCCGACAGACAAGGGATCTTGGCAGTCCTTCGCTACTTAGCTAACTTGATGACCAAATTGGCAGCAGGTGTGTACACTGAAGGGAAGGCCCTCCTCTGCCACCTGCTGGAGACACACAAAAACAACAGGATTATGACAATTAATGATAACACGGATCATGTTAATTATAATGCACACTAATAATCAAAAATGACTTACCCAGACTGGAAACGGTTATGGATCAACAGATAAATAACAAGCTGGGGCAGAGACAGTGACGTGCCGTAGGAGGATGCATCAGAAACAGCCCGGAATTAAGGGGATATACAGGGAACAATCTGGAGACTAGCAAAAGAGCTTATGGGTCAAAAATCTATTTCCCAGCCCTGAAAAAATGGGAATCAACAAAACGGATTGTGGAGAAATCGATTTAAGTATATAGGAACTGAACACTCGAGAGCAATTATGAAAGCACTGGTAAAGATGTTCCAGAGAAAGAAAGAGAATAGAAGGCGGTCTTACGGAATGGAAGGCTTGATAAATGGCAGACAAGGTGAATTGCGGGCAGCCCGAGGGCGGCAAGTGCTTGCTGCTGGATGCATCTTTTATCGGTTCCTTCTTTCATGACTCGTGGAGGTAGGCGGTCCCAAAGGCTACAGAAAAGCACCCACATGAAATCAGGAATAACTCAAAGTAGTTTATTTGGGAATTTTTTGGAATTGAAGACATGTCAAGTGAGCACGGGGAGGCAGATAAGACAAGCAATTATGGGAAGAGCACGACTATGTCACATGACACACATTGATACAATCATTCATCTGTTCATGCCAGCCAATCGCAGGCTTTACGTTTAATATTTTTATTGTTTATCATTTTTTAATAAGTGTTGCTCCTACATGGTGTTGACACTTCAGGAGTTAAGTGTAATTTGTGTCTGCACATGAGTTGTTTTATGTGTCCAGTGGATGTAAACAAAGCCTCATTCTCTCACTTAATATATACATGTAAATGGTCGGTTAAAAAAACAACAAAAATCAGATAAAAGCATCGAATCATAATTGGAATCTGGACCACTGTTGTTAATTCAACCTGAATAAAATCCTCAACAAAATTACAAAACAAAGAGGTTTCATTTCTACTTAATGGTTGTTCAGAGTACATGCTCATCTCTGTTCATATTCAATACTGCCTATCCCAGCTGACTTTGAGCTAAAGGTGTACAAGGTGGACTGATTGCCACTCAGTCCAAGGGTACAAATATTCACACCATCACTAAGTGAGAAAAAAATCAGTGACTTCATTAGCATTTTGATGGACGCAATCAGGCAGCACGTTATAGCAGAAACATAAACATAAAGCACCCATGACACTTGTGTAATTACATGGCCACTATCAATTAAACATGAGCCTGAGCACAAGCTCGTAAAGACATTAACTCTCATCATGTCAGAAAAAAAGGGCTGACAAATTTAAGCGATGAGCTAAGACTTGAAACACGAAGCTCATTAACACACACAATGGAAGGTGTGTGACGATGGAGCGCCTCAATGGAGAGCTTCCACGAGACACTCCAGATGCAATCGGTGACATCCATCAACAGTGTAGGAGTCATTAGCAGCAGTTTAACCTCAAGGATCAACAATGACACTCCGGATGCCTGAAGAACACACACGCTATTGGGCAACTGCAGATTGATATTTGAATACTTGGTAGATCCAAAACACTGTGCAAACATTTTAAAAAATAAAATAAAATAAAAACGAAAAACATTTAAGTGTTTGTGTCAGGAAACTGCACACGTCCCTAAAACGTGTGGGGATGTCTCGATTTATGACCACACCAACATCTAAAAATATTGTCACAGTGTTTTGTATTTTATGGACAAAGCGTTTTCCTCATTCAGCGACTCTAGCTTCTCTAGTGAGCACCTCTATGGAGAGGAAAACGCTCTAGCCATAAAATCGGTAATACTGGGACGAGTGTTGTAATACTTCCAGAGGTTGATGTGAGCATAAGTACAGATGTCAACATAAAGTTTGGTGACAACTGGTCACAGTTTTCGGATATAAGGCGACATTTCGTCGTTGTACATCATAGGTTTGGACCGTCCTTGACAAAATTACAGTACGGCAAGTGAGGAGGGACATATTACATTGGGATCGGCAAATAAATCGCCAAATCAACCATATAGAAACCACCGGAGACATACCTCTTTGGACATCTAACATGAAGATCGAGTTGCGTTTCCTTTTTTTCTTTTTATTTCTGCTGCAGATATACGTTGAACTAGGTGGCTTATTCTACGGGATGTCAGCGCATCCGCCATATTGAATGTGGCCATCGTATTTGCCATTATAAAATTTATCAGCAAATAAAAATGATAAAATTGATTTAGAATGACATTACACAGTCAAAAGCAATGGTTCAGTATTAAGCCAAAGAGTTCTGGCTTGATGATACATCTCCAAGGAGCAAGTGAACAAGGCATCTTCATAAATCACTTCACTTTGCCACAGCCAAAATAAATGCAGCATCAACGTATTCTAAGTGGCGTCTACGTATGTGTGTGTGTATATATATATATATATACATATATATATAGTGAATTATGTCTATGGTCATACTAACCAGCGGTTGGCACGAAGGACACCATTCAAGGTTACTGACTGGGAGTGGCGGTGCGGCACGAATAGAGTTTGGTAGCGTCAAATATATTGAGCAAAGTAAGAACAGGTTCTGTCTTTTGGATATTATAAATAATTGACACCCTCCCATACCCCATAACCCACCAATGCAAATCATATGTCCCTATTAACTCTGAGGCTTGGGGCCAGGTCTGGGTTGAAAATAAAGCACAAAAAAATCCTAGATGAAAAAGTTTATATGACTTGAGACTACCGCCTGCCCTGGTCCAAATGCCACACAGGGCTGGCTAAAATGGCTGATGCTGTCAAACGTCTGCAATGGCGATGGTGGCGAATCAGACAAACCAACTTGAGAGGGTTGAATATTTGCTGAATTGGCAGTTTGGGATTTTATAGTGTACTGTACTGTCTGGCAGTATATATTTTTCTGACAGATGAAGGCTCTGTAAGTAAATGTTGTGTGACAAAATTACTATACTACATTTTTTTTTCTGGATAAAATTCTGTCACCATGTTTTTCAAACATATTATTCAGGCTATGAAACAATAAAAGAACACGCCTGTGGCTAGTGGTAAAAACAGATTGTTATTTGTTGGCCTGGTTGTTGCTGTCGAGTGGTGATTTAGCTGTTGCATTCGGCCTCTTTGTTATTTTATTCTGCAGTCGAGTCGGTCTCTGAAATGAAATGATTTGTCAACACAGCCTCCTTTTTTAAGCCAAAAAGAGACTTAAAATCTAACAATGCTGTTTCATACCATTAAAAAATGAACACACAAACTAATTTTGTGTGCGTGTGTGTGTGTGTGTGTGTGTGTGTGTGTGTGTGTGCGCGCGTCTGCGCAAAGTTACTTCAGCTTCTTACTTTTTGTGACACTGACGTCAGCAAGAAGGGTCTTATAGAACAGTGGCGATGTTATGCATCAGTTTCACATAAGCAGCGAGTTGGCATTGAGTTATGAGTGCGGCTGCCAGTCGTTTCTTTACATGCCTCGTAATTTCCAATAACTTATCAATAATTGAGAGTGGTGTAAATATGATGCGGGAGAGCAAATATGAGAAGTGATGTGCAGTGTGTACTCAAAAGAGAATGTGTTCCAGTAGCAAAACTGCTTTGAGCATGTACAGCATGAGTACAGATGACATTTGACCTTTTTCAGCTCTTTTTTGGGGGGAAGACCACTGTGGTCCTCGTTTGGTTGAAAACTTTGATTAATATGCTGACAAAAGATCACATGAGCATTGATAGTCAGTCTGTAAAGAGCTTGTCTCTCTTAAAGGACAATGATTACTCTTTTGCTCTCTCAATATAAAAGCATCCCGAGCTAAAACAAATAACAAAATGTTATTGAAATTCTTCAGTCAACAGGGTAAAGAATTATCAACCACTCTCGATGAACCCGTTCACCGATCCCACCTGTACAATACCTAGTACAGTTTTTCTTACCAGGGATGACCAGGGGAAGCCCAGAGTTTGTCGAGAAAAGGACCCCTGCCCACATATAGACCATAGATGTCAAACTCAAGGCCCACGGGCCACATCTGGTCCACTTTGGGGTGCGTCTACTTCATGTTTTGAGCAAAAAAGGGTTTGTACTTTTCATTTTGGCAGAAAATATTTTTCTGAAATTGAAGCTTTCAAATTTAACAGACATTACAAACATTTTTTGTGTCGAATCCCTTTTTAGTATTAATTGAAAAATAGCGCTATGCTTGAATATTTGCATAGTACCAAATTTCCATGACTTGTGATTTCAAATTCAGTTTGTGATGATACCATGACAATTTCATGTTTTTCACAGTTATAACAGCCCTCTGAGGGAAACCAAATTTACAAAGTGGCAAATGTTCGTGTGACATTCCTGATACAGGTGACGTAGAAGCAAGCATTAGTTGCATTTTGGAGACGGCAGTTGATGACCAAGCTGCTGAAGATCCCTTGTCAATTAGCGTAGCAGAAGCTAATGCTGACAACACTGTTAGCTTATGCTAATTTATACATAGCACTGCTACTTTTTTGCCTTTAATATGTTTTTCTTCTGTGGAGTCTGACCGTCGCTTGGAAATGGTAGTGGTTTGTGCAGCCTAGTTGCAAAGTAAATGGCACGATACTTTGGATGGGGGTGGTACTATGTAAATTAGCTGCATTTCAAACGAATCAAGGATAAAATTAAGTGGAAAAGGTCATCAAAGGCAATAGAAACGCAACACACATCGTTAAACAATTTAAAAGAATGGGACTTAAATTGAGATTGGATTCTTTGGCGCTAAATACGTGGCCATGCATCTAGAATCTGAATGCATCGGGATGTGGTACAAGGAACCCATGAGAGGCAGCTGTGATTAATCTCTGCCTGCACGTTTAAAAAAAAAAAAAAAAATTTTATATATATATAAAAAAAAAAAAAATTTTATATATATATAAAATTTTTTTTTTTTTTTATATATATATTTAAAATGTATACAGCACAGGTAGCATTTCACATTTTCAATTCTCTCCCTCATTGGCAGTGAGCTGATGAAAGTCCATATGGTGTTTGACACACACACACACACACACACACACACACACACACACACACACACACACACACACACACACACACACCCAACACCAAAGCAATCAATCTAATGCATGTACAATGGAGTCTTTTCACCAACATCTGCTTTTCTGCGCTGATCTTTGTCACAAATAACCAATTCAAGTGGAACATCTAAAGCCAAATGCCACTGAAGATGTCTAATTGGGAATCCTGACAAACAGCTCTGGGGAAAAATATGATTCTAAAGAATATTACTCCAGAAAGCACGTCATGGGAGACCTCAACAAATTTTTGGGCAATCAAATGACTGATAGGGTATCAGTGGCCAAGGAGAACAAGTGTGATGATAATCATAAATTTGAACCTTTTGTGAAGTAGGAAAGCAGTGTGGAATGAGCACCAGTACTGTACAAGTGAACTGTGCCACAACTTAGACGAACTTTCCCCTGGTCTAAAATCTAGTCTACTTTGTTACCAAATTTTCAGATGCACCGGGGGCGTGTTATAAAAAACGCCCTCAGTGTGCCGGAACGCTCAGCGAGGGGCTGCTAAATCCTCAAACACAGTAAACTAGACTTATCCTGGCACAAAAATGAAGATGCGCCAGTTTTTATTGCGAGCACATGTGCACAGTCTATGAAAATAGGGCCCTAGATAACCACTGAAAGTTGGTGTAGGTCAAATTAACCTTTTAGAATACCCGTGAGGTGGATTATAAGTAAAATTAAAAGCCACAGTGCTGGTGTACTCTACAGCATCACTCATTGAATTGACTTTGGTCCAATCAAATTGCTTGGTTGGAACCAACTGTTTGATAAAATGTGACATAATTCTTGAATGTTGGGGAATTTAGATGAAATCATGTCTTAGACATGTTAAGACTGTTTTAAATTATCGAATGTCCTAATGAAAGTTATCGCCTTACTTTATTTTGTTGTTATTTTAGATGTCGTGATGTGGTTATTTGTTAATTTATTTTATGCAGCAAATTACATTATATTGTTTGGGGATATAGGAATCTCCAAACAGCTTGAAACAAAAAATATATATAAAAAAAAAAAAATTTAATGTACTATTTATACTGATACTCTCATACACAAGCGCATCCAGACTAATGTGAGGGCACCTCCATCACAATTTTGTAACGCTGCTTCACAGCAGCAGTGTTAAGCGCAGGCACGACATCCATTTTGTTCTAATCGTTTTTCACAGTGAGAGATGCTCATTTTTATGAAAGACAATCATTTTTGCAGCCTCTCACACAACTGCAAACAGTGAGAAAGTATTGAGATGTGAAAAAAGAAAGGATCTTTGTATAAATATAGTTATGACTAAATCATCAGAGAAATTTAGGAAAGGCTGTCCTAGAAGAAGTCATGCAAAGCCAAGCAATGATATTTACTGGAAAAACAAAAAAGGTAAAGTGTTTTTGACTCATAAATTCTAGGTACATTTACAAGTTATGTTTTTGAGTAAATTTTACACCCCCATTCGCTAAATCCAGAGATGATAAATGCATAAAGTTCATTGCAAGCTGTATTTGCCACTTTTTTGCGTTTAAATCAAAGTACATTACAGAAGAGGAAGAGGGTCAGGTGGCTGGAAGGTACCGGACCCTTCAAATGTAGACTCAGGAAAGTTGATCTAACAAAAATATTTATTTACAAAAAAATAGGTGCAAGGCCGACAAAGTACAAATAACAACACTGGACAACAAGCCAGGAATAATGCGAAGAAAACAAGGCAAGGAAAAAACACTAACGAAAATAGCTTGGAACAAAAGTATAAGATAGATCAAACCGCGTGGAGAACAAACCGCGGAGACACTGAAACACGCCAAGAACTACTTATTTGAATAACGAAGAACACAAGCAAAGGCAGGAGAAGAAAAAAAAACAAAACAAAACAAAAAAAAACAGGTGTGCAGCAGGAAAACCGAGACCGCCTCTGCCACCTACTGGACACTAACAGAACATGATCATGACAAAGACTAAGTTAGCCGTCCATAACCTCTTATAAGATAAGATAAGATAAGAAAACCTTTATTAGTCTGTGTTTTACAAGCTTCTGGCGAAGATAATTGCCTACAAAAATAAGCATCTCAGCAGGATGTTAATTTCAGATATAATCAGTGGTCCTAAAGGATGATACATTCATGTTTACGTGTTTTTGAAAAATGTAATACACTTCGGATACCCTCTCACAAGAAAAAAAACATGATTAGCCGCTTGCTAGCATGCTTGTTCAAATAAAATTCATCCATCCATCCATCCATTTTCTAATGTGCTTTTCCTCACGAGGGTCGCGGGCGTGCCAGAGCCGAGGCCAGTTGTCTTTGGGCAGTAGGCGCGGTACATCCGAAATGGTTGGCAGCCAATCGCAGGGCACACGTAGACAAACAACCATTTGTGCTCACAGTCACATCTAGGGACAATTTAGAGTGTTTCATTAACCTGCCACGCATGTTTTTGGAATGTGGGAGGAAATGGAAACCTACGCAAACACAGGGAGAAAAATGCCAACTCCACAAAGGAAGGCCGGAGCCGGAATCAAACCCTGCACCCCTGCACTGTGAAGCAGATATGCTAACCAGTTGACCACCCTGCCACCCTCAAATAAAATGTATATTTGTGTTTCGGTTGAAATAAAAGTTGTGCTTGGATGAAAAATAATGTTAGTATGCGAGTCCTCCATTTTCCTCTTTATTGATATTATTCCTGTATTGATAGTTGAGCTAGTAACATCTAACTACATATTAATTTACATATTCAGTCCAAGCATGTTTCCTATCAAACTGATATTGTATTTGTTAGCAAGATCAGATCACTCAAATATTTGGGCAGAAATTTCCGCCCCTGAAGATGTTGCACAGCCATGTACCACCTCAGCTCATATGTTTATTATTGCAATAAACTTCCCTTTTCTTCATTTGTATAATGCAGCATTTTACTACTTAACCCCCCCCCCCTAATTCTATATAATCTTTGTCATTGCTGTAGGCTGTTCATGATTCAATATATTTTAAAGAAAATATAGTTTGCCATTTACATTGAGGGTGGGCATAACAAAAAAAAAGTTTTTTGTGATTATTATTAATTCTGCATTGTGAAGAAGTTTGAACTGAATGGGAAAGAAGTGCAAATACTAAGACTCCACCCTTGCGTCATCACAGCAGCGCCCAATTGCGCGGTGCACGCCTCCTGGGTGCAAAATATAAACGCTGCTCTACTCTGTCCTCCCCACACCGGACCGCGTCCTCTGATATGTGTGTCAACTGTTCTCGGTTATCGCCTAGTTTCAAGAACAAGCTCAGTTAGAGATTCTTGCATGCGCAAAAGGGCGAGACATGGATTTCAACTTAACGCACCGCGGCGCCCTGGCGCACATATTTTTATGGAATCATTCTCTCTTCTACAATAGCACCGCCGACCTCGATCCGGAGGAGAGGGAAGACTTGGAAGTGAACACGGACATTTATTCCAAAGTGATCGTGACCATCATCTACCTGCTTCTGTTCGCTGTGGGTTCGTTGGGCAACTCCATCACCTTGTACACCCTCCTGAGCAAAAAGAGTCTGCAGAACTTGCAGAGCACCGTCCACTACCACCTGGCCAGCCTGGCCGTGTCCGACCTGCTCATCCTCGTGCTCTCCATGCCCATCGAGCTGTACAACTTCATCTGGTTCCACCACCCGTGGGTGTTCGGGGACGCGGTGTGCCGAGGCTACTACTACCTGCGCGACAGCTGCTCGTACGCCACCGCTTTCAACATCGCCTCGCTGAGCGTGGAGCGCTACATGGCCATCTGCCACCCGTTCAAAGCCAAGAGCATCATGTCCCGTAGCCGCACCAAGAAGCTGATCAGCGGCATGTGGCTCGCCTCCTTCGCGCTGTCCACGCCGATGCTTTTCATCATGGGCCAGGAGACGCGCCAGGACGAGAACATCTGCACCGCCACCGTGGCCCCTGTCACCATGAAGACGGTGCTCCAGGTGGGTCATGCCGCGTGACATTTTAATTATCTGGCTACGCGTGCTTTGTTATGGATTAATTTGACGTGGGTTTGTCATGTTGGTTATTTGGTTCTTTGACCACTAAAGTTAACGACAAGATTTTCATTTGCTCATACATGTTGATTCCGTTTAGCATTTTGTTTTGTTGTTTTGTTTTACTTACACGACTTGAGATGTTGCCAGGGCAACCGATTATTCCAAGTTAATAAATCAAGCAAACTGTATTTGGCAGCCCGGTGGTGCGTGGTGAGCGCATCGACCTCACAGTGCAGAGGTTGTGGGTTCGATCCCGGCTCTGGCCTTCCTGTGTGGAGTTTGCATGTTCTTCCTGGGTCTGCGAGGGTTTTCTCTGGGTACTCCGGTTTCCTCCCACATTCCAAAAACACGCATTGGCAGGCTGATTGAACACTCCAAATTGCCCCGATGTGTGAGCAGGAGCGTGGATGGTTGTTTGTCTCTGTGTGCCCTGCGATTGGCTGGCAACCGGTTCAGGGTTGCCCCGCCTACTGCCAGAAGACAGCTGGGATAGGCTCCAGCACACCCCGCGACTCTTGTGAGGATAAAGCGGATCGGAAAATGGATGGATGGAACCTATATTTTGTGTTCAGAGCAGTTGGTATGAATTGAATAGGCACTGTCTAACCTTTATTTAAAAAATGCGCTTAAAAACCGTTGAGAGTTATGCTTTAATATTTTTACATAAGTAAATGAGTTGAATCAGTACAGTACTTCTACTTTTACCAGAGTTACAGCACTTTTAGTACAGTGTGTGAGTACTTTTGCCGCCTGGCGTTTTCACTATATTTACAAATTACAATTACATTACTCTAAAGACCGGTACACACTTAAGAATTTTTCAAATCTTATTATTTTTTTAAATCTGTGACAGACACCACATATCAACATATATGGAAAAAAAAAAGCTATTTCACCGTTTTCGTTGGCTTGTGCGTCATGTTCTCCAATAAACTCGACACAGAACACCACTTTTATGAAGACTCTCAAACGCCAAGGCAGGGCTCTTGCTTGATTTCACAAACATGAAAACAAGCAGACATTTCCGGGTATGTGTTGATAATTGCTTCCAAAGATGACCGGAGGCAAGACCGTTGTAAGATGGCAATGTTGGCAACAAAAGACTTGCTTTGGAAAATACTTCTTGCTATCTAGGGAACTTATTTTCATACAAAAAAAACATCAGGTAGGGCAAATTTTGTTTCATTTCGTTCTTTGACTGACTACATTCCGTTCACGTTACACTTCATGGCATCGAATGATTTGAGAGTCGTCAGCTTTCCCCGCACAAAAAGATTTTTGGTTACACATATTGAACACTAACATTTAAGCGTGTTAGCCCTGACTACTTTCGGACCCGATTATTGGGGCAAATTCACTCACACCTGAGTCCAAAAGATAATCTTATAGGACATCCATCATCCATTTTCTGAACTGCTTATCCTCACGAGGGTTGCGTACGTGCTGGAGCCTATCTCAGCTGTCTGAGGGTGGTAGACAGGCCCCATAGAGCAATTTAGGGGGTTTGACGTCCTTGGTCGGAAAGCAGCAAAATCGGGACAAAAACAGCCTGACTGTCTTTATGCGTGTACCAGGCCTTAAGCAATGTGCAAGTAAACATGTTAGCATTCTTAACTTGAATTCAGATGTAAAAAATAGAATACCGACGGAAACAATGATTTGTGTACACGTCAATCAGAAAAATCTTTCATCCGCACAACCGTCCTGTGTCTGAGAGGCGAGTCTCACCACTGAAAGACAGCTCACTGTGGAGCAGCCCCTTTTTCTCGTTCCGTTAGTGACACTTTATACATAGTCTCCTTCATTCCAAGTCCTCACTCAGCTGGCGCCTCACATGACATCGCATGTCAAAAGTCAGACCTCCAACCAAAATTTTGATGCGACTTCAGAGGCATGTTTTGAACTCCAAATTGTCAAAGCTTGAAGTGGCAATACAATTAAGCACCAATGGATCCATAGCTATCCATTTTCAAAATCTATACTTCAAATACTGTGTTGTTAGCCTAAGATAATAACAATCTGACTCTTTGACTTTGTTCCTTCCCAGTCCCTCCTTAACATTTTAGGGAAATCAGTTAAGTAACTAACAAAAATAACTCCCAGTGGAGCACAGACCCCTGCCAAGGCCTAATTCGGATCAGCAATGTGCTGGACACTTTCATATTGCAGCTATGCTCAAATTTGTCCAGCAAGATTGTTGAATTAATCATTGAGACATTAATTAAACGGCCCCTATAAAAAAATGCAGCGCAATGGACATGAGCTCATGTCAGCCTACATTACACTTAATCCTTTATTCGATAAAAGCCTTAACGTCGTCGCGTCTTCCGATGGCTTCAGGGAATTAACCGGAGGCTTACTACCAATAACATGCTGCATATTTTTACATGCTATGTAAATGCGTTTTATTTACAGTAGATACCACTCTCTGGCTCACATCGCATTTTGCAATCTTTCGAGCAAAACAAACAAGGCCCTTCTCAAGGCCATTGTGTACCCTTGGTACATGTTGAATCTGTGTCGAAATGATTGCTCCAATTTCCCTGATATTGTTTCCAGTGCACACCCTTGACATCGACTCAGTAGCCCAACTAGATTTGGGATAAGTGAGGAAGTAACGATGAGGTGACTTGTTCTGTGGGGGCTTTGTCACCCAGCTGGAGCCTTGGGATGAGGCGAGAGGGCAAGAGATGGGACATTAACTTGCAGGAGCGTTGCCAAATGGTTCGTCGAGGGTGCTTTCCATCACTGTCATCTGTTTCGGGTTTGCTACTCCAGTGGGTTTTTTTTTTTGCTCTTCAAGTGTCATTTTTATCTGTGATTGCTGTTGTTTTCCTCTCATACAAATGGTAGGCAGGACAATGAGCACATAAATTGAAACGGTGAATAGCTACTCTTGAATGTTGGTATACCAAACCATACAGAGAAGTACAATTAAAACAAAAGTCAAATGTAAATGTGTGATTCGGAATTCAACAAACATTTGTCAGAATAGTATGCCTCGATGCACAAAATGGTAGAGCTGGGCAAAATGGCTGAAAAAAAGTTCCAAAATGTAAGTATTTCATATGAGCTAATATTGAGAATTATCAATTTTTTAAAACCTATTCAAAATTACCCAAAACAAAACAAAACTGTTTTTGTATGCATTGTAATTTAGTTAAATGTGCAAAGTTCATCCTCCTCCAGAGCACTGTAAAAATCTTATTTGCCGGAGTACCCCAAAGTAGTATGCTAGTACCCTTGATAGTCATATGAACCTTCTTTCATATACTCTAAGTGACGTGAACTAATACTCTCTTGTAGTCCATGCATTACTATCGACCCATCACCTTCGGAATAATTTATTATGATTATTTTTTTGTGGGCTCATTATTGCCATACTCCGTTCATATTTTACTTGTTAGCTTGTGACTCGGGCTGTGTTTGGAAATTGATTCTGACACTCATGCACTACCCTGAGAGCGAGTGTGTTCGGAGAGGTACCGTATTTTCCGCACTATAAGGCGCATCTAAAAGCATTCGGTTTTCTCAAAAGCCGACAGTGTGCCTCATAATCCAATGCGTCTTATATATGGATCAATATTCAGATTTCTTGGACGTAGTATTTTAAATGTCCTGGAAAGCGCTTTGTTACAGCTGCAGCGGTTGTGAAAGTGTGATATAAATAAAGCTGTATTGTATTCCTTTAGTGTAGCTCCATCTAGTGGATGGATAACGAAACCACAGCCACTATTGTAGCTTCTATTCTGTGCGCCTTATAATGCGGTGCGCCTTATATATAAACAGTTTTAAAATAGGCCAATCATTGAAGGTACGCCTTGCAATCCAAAGTGCCTTATAGTGCGGAAAATACGGTATTCGTTTCACCTGCCCCCCACTCAACTCCACTGTATTTATACAGCACTTTAAAACAACCATTGCTGCACACAAAGTGCTGTACATTGAGCAAATATCATATTTACAACAATAAAACAAGAAATTAATCATGAATACAGTAGACAGCACAAAACAGTAAACCTAAGATCCACTCGGAGCACCTAGTACAGGTACTGGCACTCTCTTTTGGGGGACACGCTGAACAACCGAAAGGCAAATTTGAGCACTGCACTGAGTTTCAAAATGGTTGGAGTTACCATGCACGCTCGGAGAGTAATTCCGAACGCGCCGGAGAGAGCCGTGCCAAGGGGAAACTGGACATTTTTTTGATGTTGTGATTTTCTTGTATTGAAAATTTTATCGCAGATATTTTCTATTGATATCGATCACGATACATATTGATGTTGAATTATCGCACAGCTCAACTTCGCACGTTATTTCAAAAAGCACACCAAAATTGTGTGGACACGTTTTGTGACGTACATAAGTTCACAAAAAACATCCATAGACTTGGAAAAGCTACAAGCTTTTTTCCCCACACACACAACCCCTCAATGTGAACTTGCTACGGCTCATCACTCCACTGACCTAATATAGTGGCTAACCATTTTTTATCCTCTGATGCTTTTTACGAAGGCCACTGGGTTCAGCAAATTGCCATTTTCCGAAGGGAGTCATTTTTGACCACACAAGACTGTTTCATGCAATGGAAATGAACATCGATGTTATGTCCAACAGCTCTATATAAAATCTCTTGGGCTTCATTCCAGGCTGAGGACATTCGGCTATTGGACCGTGCTGTCAAGCAGAAAGTGATCAAATCTCTGCAATAACATTTTATAAATGAGTAAGCGAGGATGCTGTGTAAGCTGGTGTACGATCCCAACACACCCCAAGCATGTTTTGTCAACCTCGATTGACACTGGGGTCAGAGAAGCCTTGTGTGTGGGAAAATACAACTATTGGCAGGTGAAAAGGCAGCAGGCAACATAAATAATTGAAAAACCTCTTCAAAAGACCATTAACTTTTTGCTGCCTTAACACAATAGATGTGCTCAGACAAT